AACCCTTAAGGCAAATTGCTAGAACTTCCCGTACCAAAAACTAAATTATTAAAAAAAACTTTGCAAAACTTTTATAAAATTGGGTTTTTGAGAAATTTTGAAATTTTGAAAAAAATGTCAATTTTGAAAAAAATGATTTGATTTATATTTTGATTTTTTTCTGAACATTTTTTTAAGCAATCGCGCTGCATAGCTGATTTTGAATCAAAATATAAAAGCGCATAAGCGCCGCGTAGTAGTCAAACGTGTAAACATGGGTATGAAACCCATACATATATACACAAAATTTGTACTTATTATTATAATCTTTATGAAATATCTGATAATACGATATACATATGTCTAATAATCATTTTTGACCACAAATAGCAGATTCTTTAACTTTTTTTATTGGATCTCCGGAGACGGCAGGCCTGCCTTCACAAAAATTTTACTAGTTGTTCATTCCGTCAATACAAGTAAAATGTTTTTTAAATTTTTAAATTGTACTCACCGTTACCTCAAAACTGAAAACCATTTTTGCAACATAATGCCCCGTATCTCCGAAACGGCTAGACCTGCTTTTGCAAAAAACTAATCAGCACGTCTACTTATCAGCAGGAATCGAATGCTTTTTGAATTATTCAAATCGGTTGATCTGTGTTCGCAAAATCGTCGATGAAAATTTGTATCCGCACACACACATACATCCATTTTTCTAAGGTATGCCAAAATGTTCAGAAACTCCTGAAACGTAGAGATATATAAAAAAAAGGGAATTTAATAATATTTGTTGAAAAAAATAGGTAAAATTCAAAATTTTATTTATACATTAATTAGAAACAATAATTGCAGACTACGAAACAAATATATAAGGAATATTTAGGGATACTTGTTTTTGTTCATATTACAAACATTAGTGTTTTTTACAGAACAAAAAAATCTATGATACCTATATTTTTCAGACCGGCCATAGAATATATAATTTTTATCATGCTGTTAACGATAAACGTTAATTTAATTAAAATTAATTTTCGCAATAATATTATTAAGAAGACACAAAAAAAATTGCAGCAATTTTGCTTGCAGAGCTCTAGGACAAAATTGTTTTCTTATACCTGCTCAACCATATTCTATAAATTATTTTAATAATTTTTAAATAGCCATTGTTTATAATTCGAAAATAATCTTTACAGTTATGATAAACTGCTTTGATTTGTTAAATTATTTCTGTTTCTCTATTTAAAATCATTTGTCGTTTGAAGAAATGTTGGGCACTTTGATCTTAAATTATAAATTTTTATTGGTACAGAAAATTATAATTTTTTATTAAATTCTGATTTTTTATTCGAAATGCGAAGTTTATACTACACTTGTTGTATATTATTTGACTGATTCATTAAGATAACAGAATGTATGTTTATTTAAAAATTATTCTCCCAAATGAGTGAAGCAAATATTGTATTGCATATACAAATTAACGGTGACATCAATACAAACTTTGTTTATGAATTTCACATTTGTTCTTAAATGTATCAATATTAATGTGATTAAACATATACAGTTATCCTCATGAATAAAACCGAATGTGAATATTAATAAAATTTTTATAACACTTTTACATATTTAGCTTCACCATAGCTTAATTTTTTAACGAGATTTGAAATTAATATAATTTTAAATAAAAAAATAATCTATACTGAAAAGTATATTAGGATATATTTTGAGTTAGTCCCAAAATTCTACTTATTTCTTGAGTTGCACTTTCTTACTTCTGAAGTGTACATTGTTTTGGTATATCCTCAGGTGAAAAGTTTCAATTTTTTATTATTATTTAAACTAATGAAAATATGTTATTGTTCAGACAGGAATTGCTATTAAGTCTAATTTAAATTGGTTGTATATCTTTAAAAATGCAAATTAGTTTATAACATAATTTATTATGCAAATCTACACAAGTCGTTTGGGAGACAATGATATCTAGACATATTTTTAGCTAAATATGGATAAGTCGAAAACATTGTATTTGTTCTTACAACTTCGCACATCTTTTGCTAGTAAACAAGACCATCTTCCAATGGTCCATGATAATCCAGTCTTTTATTTTTTTTTTAGAAAAGTTGTAGAAAAGTTCGATTTCTACTGCAATCTTCTAACAATGACAATTTACTAGGTGTTATACGACCTCTGATCACATTATATTGAGCTACTCATTCCATGAATTTCATATATCGTAATTTATGTACCTAACACAATATATAAATAAATATTGATTTTCCTTATCACATTTTTGTTTGAAGTTTTTCTAAACATCGGTGAAACAGCTACTGTATTTGTAGGCTTAGTTCGATATTGGTTTTGAACGAATAGGTACTCCGGGTGGATTAATTTTAATTAATAAAGTGTTAGGTCAAAAAAAAAAAAATTTAATCTGAAAGAGCTTTATCAACAGTTATTTTTTTTTAAATATTCGGTTTTGAGTACATAATGACAATTTATTTTGTAATCAGAGCTATGAAAAAAAAGAGTATTTCCTGGCCTAGTTTTCAATCACTTAAATCGCCTACTTTTGATAAGAATGATACATACATACTTTAAAAACATTAAAAATCCTCAAAAACAAATCATTAGAGTTCAAGTCTCGGAGGAACTTTGGCTCCTATTATCTATAGAAGACAATAGGACGTATAATATTGTGTATGATCAAGAAATTACTCAATACGTGCTAATTTTTAAAATCCTGGGCCGTTTGTTAATTTTTTGTTGTTAATATTAGACTGTTATAAGTGGTGACACACGTAGAGTGAACATAAAATACTGAATGTGTAATATCATAAATTATAAAGATCGGTTATCTAAAGCTTCAATTATTTTAAATTATTTTTTTATTAAATTGAAAACATTGTGATGATACATGAAATTATGTGCAATTGTTAATATCATGATTTAAGTGTTATTTGAAATTTATCAAATTTAAAAAGATTTTTACTCTACCCCATATCTCGTCTCCAAAATGAACGGGAATTTTAAAAGTGATACCCCTAAAAACAAACTAATTCTAATTTTCAAAAAAGTCCTAAGACCAAAAAATTAAATAATTCAATTTCTAATTATCGTCCTGTTCCTGTTAGTGAGGTGACTGCTGGTGCCTTGGAAATCTGGAGAACTCTGCCGGAGAAAATCAGGCAAGATCCGAGTTTAGCCAGTTTTCGACAGGAGCATGAGAGACTGGGACTTGGAGGTATGTAACTATCTTTAAATCATTCAATTGATATTCAAAAATTAATATTGAAAATTAAATATTTACACGAATGCAAGAACTTGATGTGTGAACACTTACTACAGAATTTGGTTAAGAAAAACGAGTCATAGAATTATGGCGTCGACTCGGATTATTTTTCTTATTTTCGGTGCAACTTTTGAAATATTTTTTGAAATTATTAATTTTGATTATTCCAAATTCAATTCCATTTGATTATTCACAGATGTATTAAGAAATTGTAATCGGAACAAAATATATAAATATGAAATATATTTAAATTCACATACATATGACATAATTGCCCACATCAAGATCAAATTTGATTTATCTTCACCATAAAAAAAAATTAAAATTAGTGGTGTATGGCATCATGCCTTGAGGCCAAATTGCTGGAACTTCCCGTACCAATTAAAAATTTGAAAATTCGAATTATTTTCGATATTCAAAAAATATTTTCTTCCTTTTTCCAAAAACAATCGTTTCATCACACACCAGAAAGTCCTTCAAATCTTTCAAATCGGATGCTTATCTCTCTCAAAAACTGCCATTTTTTGCACATTTAGCTCGGTATTTCGAAAACGGCTGGATCTACTTTTGCCAAAATCTAATCAGCACATCTCCCTATCAATAGGAATCGAATCTTTTTTTAACGATTCAAATCGGTCGGTTCTTGCGCCCGAAAACGTGGACGGAAAATTGTATCCATATATACAAACGCCAAAATGTTCAGAAACCTTCAAAACGCGAAGAAATGTACAAATTTTCAATTTCGATTTTTACACGATTACAATAACTTACTCTACGGGAAGTTAACAAATAAATAAAATTTTGCAAAAATGTAAATTTACATATACTCTACATTACTTTGAGTTTGAATAATTAAAAACTATCCGAATAGACAATTCAACAAATATTGCTTTTTTCTGCTTTATAGCAATATAACTATATTGACAAATTATTGCTTCGATGACTGGTTCAGCAAATAAAAATATTACTTAGTTTATTGCACCTATTTTTCAGGAAATACATAAAATTCACTTAGAATAATAAGTGAAAAAATAATTTTTTAAAATAAAATCCAGAAATCGTTATAAATTTATTGTCCAAAGAAAAAAAGAATATTCTGTTTGTTGACATACATGAACACTTTAAAAAATCTCACCTCATTTTTTAAAGTATTCATGTATGTCAACAAACAGAATATTCTTTTTTTCTTTGGACAATAAATTTATAACGATTTCTGGATTTTATTTTAAAAAATTATTTTTTCACTTATTATTCTAAAGTGAATTTTATGTATTTCCTGAAAAATAGGTGCAATAAACTAAGTAATATTTTTATTTGCTGAACCAGTCATCGAAGCAATAATTTGTCAATATAGTTATATTGCTATAAAGCAGAAAAAAGCAATATTTGTTGAATTGTCTATTTGGATAGTTTTATTATTGAACGGGTGTTTTTAAATACTGAATATTTTTACATCTGTTTTAAAAAGGCTAGTAAAATTTAGGATTATAAATAAGCCTTAAAAATAATAATCTGACCATTCACAGAATCCAGGCGCAATAAACTTTGTTATAATATATTGCTCCGTGCACACCAATTTATTTTTATATTATTTTTAAGATTTTTGGTATAAATTTTGATACGGTAAAAGGGAAAACAATACTCACCAAATATAATATAAATATAATTTTTAGTTGTCAAGATATTCGAATAATAAATTTCGATATAGTTTTGTTCTAATTATCAAGATTTGTTATTATTTATCATTATAATAAAATAGTATAAATTTTCTATTTTATATAATTCAACATTTCTAAGAAGATACTACATGTAAACACCGTAAAAATATCAGTATACGGTAATAACATTCTGAAAATTATCGATAGTATTGGCGATAAATATTATTATAATCCCTTTGTTGCTTTTTTGAAGCAGGACTATAAAATTGAAGGTCATTTCAAAACAAGTATGAATCTAAGTGTCCATTCATTTTTTAATTAGTTTAAGATAATAAATAAAGCAAACCAGACTCCACTACGCACTTGTATTAACTATTGTTCTGCACCATTACAAGAAATTTGAGCGGCATTATATTTAATTAATGCATTTTCAATGCTCAGCGGCTTTATTTGAATATTATCTAATCAATAGACTATAAAATGATCGTTATTTTGAGCATATCAACAATCGAGGAAATAACAAAATAATAAAATACCATTTTTATATGATGTAATTGCATTGTGTAATTTGATTTTAATTATAGATGTTTGCGATGAAATTGATCCGCTTCCCAATGATGATAATCCAAACGAAGAAGAGGAAGATAGGTTGGAAAATGAAAATTCTGGTAGGAAGATGGATTACCTTTCCATAAATGTAGCAACTGTTGCGTCTAGGCCAAATAATGGGTAATGATAATGATATTTTTATTTATATTAAATATAGTATTGATAATGAAATATTTATTATTTAACTCCTTCGCTACGAGAGTGTTTTCAGTAGCACTACAGAACGGATAGACACAATAATATATTTTAAGATTTTTCTTGATAAATTAAAAATTGCGCCTTTGATAAACTAAAAACTACAACAAAAGTTAAACATTTCCAATAGTTTAATGCATAATGATAAATTTTGAAGCAATGTCCAAAACGCTAAATGTCGTCTATAGACGACATCTGTACACACATCATGCCAAGCGGATGTCGTCCATGGACGACATTAGTATGCACAAGTAGTCAAATGAATGTTGTCATTAGATTATACATGATCCATTGTTATGCAGTATTAATGCAACCAGATATACAAGTGACTTCCTTTAAGAAAATCGTTAATGTTGTTTTGCCTGATATTTAAATACACTCAAAATTACCTATTATTTTTGAGTAAAGAGCACAATTTCTAAAAATATAAGTATTACTTGAAATTAAATTTTAAAGTTTATGCTGTGACTAACATATTTTCAAATATTTAGGCAAAAAGCACAATTTTCTGCACCCGCAAATAGAGATGCTTCTACTGTTGAAGGAGATTTGGATCAAGACACAGATGAAGTTACTGGTCACAGAAAGGTAAGATATTAATTTCAATTGATGATTTAATGATATTGAATTTCAATTGATGATTTGATGAAATTAAAAAAAAAATTCAAATTTATAATTTGAAGCAGGTTACTCCACCATAGTTTTTCAAGCCCTTAAAAAGTTTTGCTTAAATATTTTAGATAAAAATTTCAGATTTTTAATATTATTTTATTTCTTTAGCTGAAACCTTGGATAAAATCTTTAAAAATAGGCCTATTACTGGGATGTTGGTTATTGTTCACCGCAATACTGATGACGAAAAATGAAAGAGTTGAAACTCTTAAGCAAATATCAATTCCAGTAGGAAAAGTTCGCAGTGAGTATTGATCGGTTGCAACCTTGTGCAAACAATATTATTTAATTTTTACATTATTTAATTCTTCAAATCTTTTGTTACAGGTTTCATTTTGCCAGAGAGATTGAATGGTGCCAGATTACAAATAGAACTATCAGGAGCATTTTTACCTGAGCATTATGGAAATTTGTCGATTAATTATATTGAACTATGGTTGGAAATTTTGGAGGTTTCTCAAAGTGTGGATCCTGCAAATGCATCTCACTTGAAAAAGCACGAAGTTCTATACATACATGTAATATATGTTAAAATATAATATAATACCTTCAACTTCATATAATATTAAGAATCATTCTTATAGTCAATATTTAAAAGAATCATGTTATTTAACATGATGTAAACTGTTATTAATTTGGTTAAACTTCTGAACAATATTTTATGTTTTTAACTGCACGACACTATTAATAAGATGACCATATTTTTTTGAAGTCAAAATCGGGACGGTAATTTTTAGTTATGCTAATTCAGGACGGGAGGGGGGGAGGTGTAGTGAGCTTTAAAATACTGAATCCATTTTAAAAAAATAAATTTTTACATGAATCAATTTTTTTAAAATCAGAATTGCAGACTTTTAGTAAGAACTTTATTATTCTATTAAATGTAATACTTTTTTATCATTTTCTTATTTTATATTTTTCTATCTATACATTTTTTTTGCTTATGAGCTTTGTATAAAATTATATTCAATTTTCTTCATGGTTAATTTGAAAAAATTAGCACTTGTTTGTTTTCACAATTTTTGTTCATTTACCTACAATTTTCAAAAATGCGGGACAAAAGATTTAAATCCGAGACAAATTTTACTATTTAACTACTAAATATCTCAAGGTGGAAATCCGGGACGTATGGTCACCTTACTATTAAGTACATTTAAATTTCCCAGTTTAATTATCTTTACGAGATTAAGATTACGAGAAATATTTTTTATCATTGGCATTAACACGTTAATCGCCATGTCAGTCACATGCCTGAGGCTATGGAGTGCTACATTAGGCATAGGCAATTTTGTAGTATCAGAAATAATATTTTAATATATGTCAGCCATATATGTGCCGCATAAAATTGTTTTTCCAAAATTTTGGCCAAAACAAATTTTTTATTGAATACTTTTATTGAATATTAACGATCGTTTTATTGAATATTAATGATTATTTCAGAAAAAAATATACATGCCTCATTATAACTTAATTAGATAATTTAGTTAAAATTGTATCAAAAAAACTCAATGTATTCAATAAAAAATTTGTTTTGGCCAAAATTTTGGAAAAGCAATTTTATGCAGCACATTAATGGCTGAAATATATTGAAATATTATTTCTGATACTACAAAATTGCCTATGCCTAATATAGAACGCTATAGCTTCACCCAAATATGACTAACATATAATTTATCTGAAAAAATGTCGAATTGATCTGGAAAATGTCGTTATTTGAGTTGTTCTTCCACGTATACATGGGAAGTGCTTGGAAAATATAAATAGAACAAACCGAATTTATTTGTATAAATATTATTTTTATAATTATCAATATTATATTTTGCAAATATTGATTGATGACAAGCAACATACATTACAATGTATAGTTTGCTGGAAGTCAGCAAGTGCAAATATTTAATTAAACCCCGGAAAATTACTTGACGTAATAACGTCATTTATAGAACATCGTTTCATTAACATTCAAATATTAGTTTAACTTTCTTATTAACATAACTAGTTTAGGCTAATAAGCTATACATTAAACTAGCAATTTCTATTTATAATTTAATATTTATGCATCAGTTGATTACATGTAAATTGTTTGTTTGTAGAACATTTCCGATGCGTCTTTCTGGCGCCTGCCAATAGTCTCCGAAGATCTGTTCGATATTGTGCCAGAACTTACCAGAAGGCGCGTCTTCACTTTGGGAAGTTACCCGTCCAGGAAGATCCCAGACAGCGTCGCCCGTGTTCGAATGCGCACCAATGCCGAGGCCAATTTTCCTCTCAGCATCGGATACGATGTCAGCCCCATCGACATGGATGATGGAGTTATTTACGCCGCTGTTGTTCTTTTGGGGCTATATATTTTGATTGTGTTTGAGGTAATATTTTGTTGTTAATTTGAAAGTGGCATTGTGCCTTAAAGCAAGTTGCATGAACTTCCCGAAATGTCTAATAATTGACTTAATTCACCGAAATTAGGATTTTGGATATTGAGATAAAATTTTCACCAATTTATTTCGAAAATAGTTTTTGCTTTCGCTTTGTAAACCATTTTTGCCATTTTAAATTTGTATTTTTCCAACACATTTAAATTATTTGTAATTATACTAAATATAGTGCACAGACTAGTGTACTTTCATATCCAAAAATTGTAGCTTGTCATTCCAAATTTTAACTAATTTATATAATTCAACCCATTTTTGAGGAACTGTTTTAGTGCATTAACTTTACGCTACGCTACTAATTTTTTCAAACTTCGATGATTTTTTTAAAGTAAACGGCTAGTCGCAGGGTCATTTTAGAATGTTCTTTAGATTCATGATATCCATCGTCAAAAAAAAAATTAATAAAAATCGTCAAAAAAAACTCAACAATTAATTACAAGAACACGTGCCAGCGGATCTTTACCAAAAACTAATCAGTTCGATTACCAACCAATACTTTTTAGTTTTTGAATTTTTAAAATCGATTCAGAATTGCGGATGAATACTTAGATGAAATTTTGTTTCACTTTTCTGCTATTAACAATGAAACGGCTTGACTGTTTGTAGCGCAAAACTGACAAAAGCTAGTCCTTATCCAGTTACAGCGAATGGCTTTTAAATTTTTGTACTCAGGTCAGCCTTTTTTGAGAAAACGCACCAACAAAATGGCAAAAATCAGCTCACATACACATACACATACTTCATTCAAATTTCATCTCTTGCGATTCAGAATGGCTTGAAATGTCGAAAAAACAAAAAATTTACAAATCGTTTTTTTTATGAAAACATTTTCTCCTTCGGAAAGTTGGTCTTCATATAAACTTATTACGGACAAATTTGGTGATTTTTAAATTTTTTATTCAGAAATTAATTAATTAAAAAATTAAATAAAATAATATCAACCCTTTCGCTGCTAGCGTCGTCCATAGACGACATGCTTCCGTGTGTATGAATGTCGCCTATAGACTTCATCTAGTATCACAAATTTGGGTTAACTCATTCTCATTTGAATAATTGAAATATATTATTTGTTATTGTGGTTTTAAGTTTTTTTAAGCGTAAATAAATCATATAAATTTTTAAATACATTTCTATCGTTAATGAATGGAAAATCTGAGAATATTTTTGTGTGAGACAATATTTACTTGGGCGATTTACTGGCTCGTAAAGCAGCATCACTCTTGCGGAAAACCCTCTCACGGCGAAAGGGTTAATAATTTAAATATCTACATGATATTGATCAAATAATTCAAATTTTATAATTAATAATTCCATCAAAATTAGTTTCTGCTTTTAAAATCTATAACTCGCCTGACTAACAAATTTTATCCACACGTAAATGTATAGTTTCATGTTCAATATTCAGGAGAACTTCTATACTATATTTATTGGATAAGTAACACTTCGATTTTGATGAATTTGAAAATAGTTAGTTTTTTTGTAAAGCTTATCTTGTTATGCTGATCATAATTCTTTTGCGTCTTTTCAATTAGTATTGCAAATTATTACTGTAGCAATTTTACGATGTTATAAAACCCACATATGACCTCTTATACATTACTTTATATGTAATTCTGTCTGGCTGAAATTGCAATAAAATAGATTTATTAGTAAAATGCTAAACATGGTTGTCACGTATTTTTTAACTGTTGATGATTTCATTTATCATAAACTTTAATGATTTGGATATCCCTCGTTTAACTTCCATAAACATAATTTGAAATGATTTATTTAGTTATAAAACAAATAGCTAAAATAATCATTTTGATTATTTTTCTGTATCTAGTTGAATCTCAATTAATTTAGTTTAATCGTAGCTAAATAAATGCTGGTTTATTGACGTGCTTTAGCTTTAATTAGAAAATCACTCACTAAAGTTTTTTTTTTCTCTTAAAATAGTAGCTTTATTTAAATTTAATCATGACAGCTTATAAAATTAAATCATTTTGTTTGCTATTCATCAATAATTAAAAAAAAACATTGAATCGAACCATTATCGCAATTCATAAAAAGGCTCCTCGATTGCATTATTTAAAATTTCTTTGAACGCAGTGAAATGTTTGGTAAATCGACAACCAATTAAAACCAAACTAACAACAACAACCTTACCAATCATTTATAAAATTATTTAAATTAAATACTAGTTGGAAAGATATTCTTTTTATTCAATATAGAACTATGTTGAACTCTACACTTATCTACATTGAATCGCTACTTTTTTCTATCAAGTGGATAATAATGTATTATTTATTTATGCTAATTCTAAATTTTCTATTATTCTCAGATTGTTCATCGTACATTTGCTGCAATTTTGGCATCAACAATGAGCGTTGCTATTTTAGCAGCATTGAATGAAAGGCCAACAATGTCGGAGTTGATTTCTTGGATTGATGTAGAAACCCTTCTTTTGCTTTTCTCAATGATGGTTTTGGTCGCAATCTTCTCAGAAACCGGTATTTTTGACTTTTTGGCAGTTTACGCATACAAGGTAAAATATTCGATCGATATTGTTCTGATAATTTGAAAAGAATTATGGTTGATAAAATAATAAATTGCAGATCACATCTGGAAGAATATGGCCATTGATTAACTGTTTATGTCTCTTCACGGCGATAATGAGTTCTTTCTTGGATAATGTCACAACCGTCCTGCTTATGACACCGGTTACGATAAGGTGAATAAAAAGTTTTATTTTATTAAATTTATTCATGTGATGGCATATAATTCAAATATTTTGCAGTGTCGTACCAAGAATAACACTTAGTTACAATTTTATTACATTGTTTAAATCGATAAAAAATTATAATGCTTCAGAAATGCTAATATGTGTATTAGATGTTTGTTTTATGATATGTATTATGAATGAGAGAATTTAAAAATATATTTATCACCACAGGTTATGTGAAGTCATGGAGCTAAATCCGGTACCCATCTTGATGTCCATGATAATTTACTCAAATATTGGCGGAGCTTTGACACCAGTTGGCGATCCTCCAAATGTTATTATCGCTTCTAACAGTCACATTTCACAGAATGTAAGTTTTATAATTTCTCTTAAATGAGACAATCATCAATTTACTAAATCAAAGCTGTATTTAGCTTTGAGTGTATATAGATATAATTATTTCATTTGTTTTTATTTTTAGGGCGTTAACTTCACTACTTTCACTATGCACATGGCAATCGGAGTACTACTAGTTATGGTCCAAACGTATTTCCAATTAAGATTGAAGTTTAGGAACATCAACAATTTGAGATTTTCTGAACCTCACGATGTTCAAGGTAGTATTTTATAGGTTACTTACATTAATCCAGTTTTAACGTCTCAAGAATTTTTATTAAATATTTTGTTATTTACCTTTTTTAGAGTTGAGACATGAGATTGCAGTCTGGCAAAGAGCAGCAGCTTCGCTATCCAGTTACTCAAAAGACGAAGATTTGGTCAGAGAAACATTAACCAAAAAAGTACAAAGATTATTAGCTCAATTGAAGAAAAAATTGCTCAGTGGCAGTGTACCATTTGAAAGCTACAAAGCTAACCTTGAAGAATTGCAGCAGAAGGTAGTAAATTTTAATTGACATATCTTCAACTCATTTTTCTATTAGTATTATATAAAGTCTTATATTTCTTACAGTATCCAATTCGTAACAAGGTATTACTTGTCAAGTCAGGCATAACTCTTGTATTTGTCATCAGTTTCTTCTTCCTGCACTCAGTACCTGAACTGCAAAGATTGTCTTTGGGCTGGACAGCTTTGTTAGGAGCACTACTTTTGCTAATTTTGGCAGATAGGTTAATATTTTAAATTATATTTACAATTTGCTTATTTACATTCTTTTAGTATGAAATTTTACAAATAATTTTGCGATCTTATAGGGAAGATATGGAGTCAGTCTTGGCAAGAGTAGAATGGACAACGTTACTTTTCTTCGCTGCCTTATTTGTTCTTATGGAGGTAAGTTGAAATATGATGTAAATAATTCCCAATTAGTATAGGAATTCAAAATAAAAATTATTTGTCATCTTAGGCGCTTTCAAAACTGGGTCTGATTGATTGGATAGGAAAACAAACTGAAGCAGTCATTCTTTCAGTATCTGAAGAATCAAGATTGGCAGTAGCGATATTGTTAATACTTTGGGTAAGACAAATTACTAATACTATATTATAATCTTATCTTTCATTTATTTAAAATTCATTATTCTCTAGGTTTCTGCCATCGCTTCTGCATTCGTCGACAACATTCCTCTAACGACAATGATGGTCAAAATCGCGATCTCTTTAGCGGAAAATGAAGAATTAGGCTTACCATTGCAACCTTTAGTTTGGGCACTCGCTTTCGGTGCTTGCTTGGGAGGTAATCGATAATATAAATAATTTTTTATGTGTAGTTACAACAATTTGTAATGGTTGAATTTAAACAATCCTTTTCACACATAATTAACTAACTAAACTAAAACGTAACTAAATAAAATACTAAAAATACTAAAGTTATAAATTTTTTATTTTAGGCAATGGAACATTAATTGGAGCTTCGGCTAATGTGGTTTGTGCGGGTGTAGCCGAACAACATGGTTATAGATTTACATTTGTCGAGTATTTCAAGTAAGTTTTCTGAATCTTCTTGTTATTTTGCTAATGTTATTTGTGAAAAAGATTGATGCGCGCCTACAATAATGCAATTTCTGATCATGAAAAACTATTTGTACCTTTTAAATCAGGCGGTTTTTGAGTAAGAAAGTACATTTCAAACATTCCATACAAACATGTATTGAGATCTTATCTAGATAAGCTTATCTAGTTCTGATCTAGATAGGCCGACTGCTTCTATCTTTGACATTAGGTCAAATTTTATGGCAAACATCGATTTCATTGAGAATATTTTAAAAATATGCCTCTAAATATGCAGTAAAAGCAATAAAAAATGCAAGCTCACACATTTTGCTACGACAATGTTTTCCGTAGGTGTGATACTGCTCTACTGAACAGTGAGCCGCCCAATAGCGCTACTGAATGATTGGAGGGATGTTTTAGTATTTTTTAATCGTCATAAAAAAATCAAAAAAAAAAAAATTGATAAATTTTAAGCAGGTGTCGACACATTGGATATTTACTTATCTATGTTGGATGTCGGCTATAGATGACACATATGTAGTCGGCATGTGTATGTCGCCTATAGTTTGTTGTGAAAGGGTTAAAAACTAATTCGAATCCATTTGGCTAATTGTTCTAATAGCCATCTTCCAAGCGTACAACAATATTCTTCTTGTTTTATGGGAAGAAGACAAAGTTTATCTATGAGTTATAATTAAGGTGACCATTTTTTTAAATCAAAACCGGAACGGCAATTTCCAATTATTCAAACGGTTTTTTAAAATAACAAATGCTATTCAAGGATACAGTGAAAAGAAGCTTTTTATCTAAATCATTTTTTAACTTCTCGTAGGGTGAGTCATAGTAATCGCAAAAAAATCGAAAATGAAAATTTTTATATATCTTCACGTTTCAATGGTTTTTGAACAGTTTTGCATACCTTAGAAAAAATTGATGTACGTGTGTGTGTTTGTAAGCGGATAAAAATTTTCGTCGACGATTTCGGGAACACCAATCAACCGATTTCAATAATTCAAAAAATATTCGATTCGTATTGATAAGGGGAGACGTGCTAAAGTTTTTGGCGAAGGCAGGTCTCGCTGTTCCAAATATACGGGGCAAAAAATGCCAAAAACGGTAACTCGGTTTTTAAGAAAACACACGGTTCGATGTTAATAAATCAAAAATTTTGGAAAGGCAGGATCAGCGGTTATGGACTCTCAAAAAAAAAAAAAAAAATAAGTTAGAAAAATGTCATTTGGCGGTCAAAAATGTTTTGGACATATGTACATCAAATTATCAGATATTTTATAGAGATTTTAATAATGTGTACACATTTTGAGTAAATTTTTTGGGTTCCAAACAAAAGTTCCAGCAAATTGCCTTAAGGCACGATGCCATGCATTCCGCTAGTTATTAATCAAAATTGCTAACATTTGTATGTATATTTTTTTTTGCTTTTGAGCCTTGTTTGAAATTTTATTCAATTTTCTCCATATATAATTTGAAAAAAATAGCACTTGTTCGTTTGTTTACATAATTTTTATTAATTTTGATTTTAATTGAGCAAAAGATCTAAATCCGGGACAAATATTGATTTTAGAAAAACCCGGGATACAAGTTGGAAATATCCGGTGCTGTCTCGGCCAAACCTGGACGTATCTGGTCACCTTAGTTTATAATATATATTGAGATTTGTTAAGTCAATGACATTAGATTAATTTTTCAATATTTTTTATTGATATAAGAAGTTAATGAGTATTATTGTATAAAATTTCAGAGATTACTAACTTGTTTATTTTTTTCTAGGGTCGGTTTTCCAGTTATGATCGGCAGCATACTAGTAACCACCGTGTACCTTATGATCGCCCACGTCGCCTTGCAATGGCATTGATGTCACATGTACCTGAAATTACAATTAGGTTTTATGAAATATTGTTTATAATTTAAGACACCCAATATTAATGCAATAATTGCAAACATGAGTAACGCACATTTAATGAGAATTGCATTTGATTCACTATTAAATACAGATTTTGACAAGCATTAGAAAAGAAAACTATGTTTTGAATAAGTTTATGAACATGAATTTATATAGTATTCGAAACATGTTTCAATAAATTTATCAAATACGCTTTAGGTGAAATAGCATATTTTTATGAGTATAGTGTATATTTTCTAAAACAAAATACGAGATTGGATGTACCATATTTTTAACTAAAAAATCATGTGTGCAATTTTATAATATTAAAAAAAAATCGAATTGCCTTAGTGTTCGTTCGCGAATATTAAACTGAGGTATAAGTATTAGTGAGTATTAAATTAAAATCTTAGAAAATTGTTCTTCGTACAAAAATAATTACACATCACTTTGTTGCACGTGAAATATTGTTCTTAATAATAAATCTGTTACTACAAATCTAATAAAGTTAATGTATAAACTAATACGAATCAAATCGTGGTAAGCACGTTACCATATCTAAAATATTTTTGATAATGTATATAATTATAGATCTATAAAAAATCATTGATAGTTTTTGAAGACAAAATGTAAAATTATTTTAGATGCATTTAAACAAATTGAAAAATGCATTTTGTCATTTCATTAACATAGATTTCCTATTAGACCATTTAAATAAACAATTGTTTAGTTTGAACAAATGGTGTAGGTGAATTTAATTTAAAGTATTGTAGACAACTAATTAAATTGATAAATAATGAAATGTAATTGTTATAAATCAAAATTTTCATATAAACTTGTATATGTATAATATAGTTTAGCGACATGTTATTTATAGATACGTATATTTTAGTAATTTATGATATTTGAGTTACGTTAATTTTAGAATAATTATTGATATTTTATTTTATCATAATATTTGTTTCTCACTTGCATATGTACATTTTATTTCGAAGATCTTTAACGATCTTGTAAAAGTTCAAATTAAAAAAAAACTCATAAAATTTCGTATGTGATAATTAAAAATATTCAATAAGATAAAGTGAATTCTAAATTTGATGAAAATATATATAATTGGTTACTAGTAATATATATTTTTTATCAGAAATACTTGTTGTATAGGTAATTTTGTCACTGTAAATAAACAATTTTGAATAAAATTAATTTTATTTTTAATAAGTAATTTTCAATGAAATTTGTTAGATGATTGGAGCAAGAAGATGATTAGATACCGTACCAATTAAATCAGAAATTTAGATGAACATTAAATTAGTATCTAGATTTTGTACAAACAGGTACAGTATTTAAATTATATTTTTTAAATTAAAAACACAATATCAAATCTCACATAAAATTAATTTTGGCAAGTTTTGAAACAACAAATTTGGTTCTTTATATTTAAAATATTTTAAAAGGAATGTTATTTTACAGGGCAAAGTCGTCAGTCAAATCAAGTAGATCATGTGGATATGGAGATAAACCAATATGGTAAACCAAATGTTTCCAATGATTTTTTTGAAATTATTATTTTTATCCCTATTTCTGTTGAAACACATATTCTTCTTATAATTAGTTCTTCTATCGATATCCGACGTTATTTTGAAAAAATAAAATAACACAATAGAGAAGGGGTGTCAACCCCGGAGGGTGGTGGCGGAGTCCAAATTGTTTTCACTTTTGAACTTGAGGGTGAGATGAACTTAATTCCAAAATTTCATGCAAATTGGAGCACAGTAAAACCAAAGCGCTCCATTGACCGGAGGATTCTGAGTTTTTGCATATACGCATCAGGCACTATAATTACAATCGTCAAAGTGAGTCTTTCTCTCGATTTTTAATTTTTTTTTTAATGTTAATCATGTTTCTTATCTTGTTTTTCAATCTGCAAATAATATTCTAAAGCTTGAAGAAACTATTTGATTTTCACTTCTCTTCTATTGCCTGAATTACTTTAGGAGCTTCAATTCTCGAACTCATATTTATTTACTCAAAATTTAGTATCAAGTTGGAAGGCTTTTCAATATATTTACCGAGTTGTGCCTAATTTGTATTTCTTTAAAATATTCTATTCTTTACACATTTATTATGTAGCTTCGATTAAATACCCAATAAATCAATAGTTTATCCAATTTTAGATGAAACTATTGTTAGAAACAAATGCATTAATGTACGTAACCATTTACCATTACTCAATTCATATGTTTGAAATATGTAGCCAGGCGTATTTAGTTACTGAAACTAGAAAATATTTCTGTACGCAAGAATGTAATCAACCATTGGTGGCGTATTAAAAATGATCTTTGAAATTTAATTAATTAATATGATAAAATTTATATGCACATGTATAGGCACAAGTCTTAAATTCTTTTTTTACTTAAGTTCTTAAAATTTTTGTATGGAGATAATCATGACAGACTATATTGAATGTTAACAATAAATGTGTTAAAATGGGTTAAATATAATATCCAAACATTTTAAAAGCTATATCTTTCTTTGCTAATTCAATATAGTAAACACATTGGAGCAGTTTTAAAAGTATGTACCCCAAAATTTATATGAAATCAGATGCGGCTGCTCTGCTCTAAAAGTAAAGAGTTCGCTAAAAATTCGATTTTGTTAAAAATTTTGAAGATAAAAACTACTTAATATTTTTCGAATTTCTTTTTTTTATTTAAAAGCACAATACTTCCGGTTAACAGAAAATAATTCCTCGGCTGACTGCAGTAACCAACACGATGGGTCCAAGTTTGAAGTTTCAATACTATCACAACGTCAAAAAGTAAAATACTATCTCATTTCTAACAATCTCGCACCTATATACAGTAAACCCTCGCTTTACGCGGCAAGTGCGTACCGTGCAGTATAGGAACCGTGCTATAAGAAACTCGTATTTAACATACAATTCAGGCTAATTCGTAGTGCGTTCTATGGAACCTTACATAGTGCAGTATGGGAACCGTGTTATGAGAGACTCAGAGTTGGTACAAATCGCACCATTTTTATCGCGTTGTATGGAGACCAAGAAATACAACTTGAAGTAGGAGAAATACGGACGAAATGACGTAAATGACGTGACGAAATTGACACCTTATTCAAAAATTGGCGCGACGCAGTAATCAGCTCAAACGTGTTCTTAGGCGGCTATTATACAATCAGGCATGTCTAAAAGATAAAAGTCGATAACAAAATTTACAACAATACCCTTTTGCACAACGAACTTATGGGCTGTTGACCAAATACCGTGTAATAAGAAGTCCGTGTAGTCGGAGGGATGTCGGATTTTTAGCTCCGTGTAGTATGGGAACCGTGTACCCAGAGTGCCGTGTAAAGCGAGAGCCTACTGTATTCCTAAACATGGCTACGTTTTTATTTTAGTTATTATGCGCATCTAAAATTAAATAATTTTCATATAAATACCGCAAGAGTTACAACTAATTAATCATGATTAAAATGCTTCACCAGGAATATTCCTATTGTCATTTTTTTACTTTAATTTGAGGTAATGCTTTTGTTTTGCAAAATCGTTATAAGGTCATTTTTGTCCAACGAAGTTCATATAGATTTCTAATTTTTATTACTTCCGTTGCGTGATTCAAACATGTGTGCAATACCGTTCATTACATATGTATATCTTCTATTTGTTGTAACACAATATTTAACAGAATTCAAGTGAAAAATCATTGTTTAGTAACTTGGTGATTTTTTTTATAGATTTTGTGTTACTTACTTTATGCACTTTTTTATATTGAGTGTTAATTACTACAAATTTATCATTGCTTTGCAAGTTTTAATTAATCATTATAATTGAAACACTTTGCAAGTCTATAATATTTTAAATTTAAAATAGGGAAATTCCCTATTTTGGGAAATTTGGAGATTCCCTAAGACTATCTAGGCACTGGATGACTAAGCAAAGTGTTATCAAAATTGCCAAAAATTCTTTTTCATCAATTAATTACGAACAAACAGTACACAGTTTATTTTTGATAAAATCTAATCAATTATAACTGATATCTTTCAAACAATTTCCGAAAATACTTCAACCAAAGATCAAATTTTGCCTTACCAAATTCACACTCACACTTTACACATTTTTCCGAATTTTGTTCTCAAACAATTCGGAATGACTTGAATTGTCGGCAAAATATTTAAGCATTTAAAATTAGCAAATCGAAATTATTTTCGAACACAAACCTAAATTTTAATTTAAAAATTAAAAAGCATAAGTATTTTAATGAAAATCTCAACTGATTGGTTGCTTTTACTGTTAAGATTTCAGAATTTATGATGGTTAAATGTATTTACATAATTTTTGTTCTAAGAATATTGTTTGTTTTCACACATGATAGTATAGATTATTCTGTACCAAATAGAAATTTTTTGAGAAAAAGAATTTCTCAAAGTGATAATTATTCTATCTAAACGCTTGCTAATAAAGTATTTATAGTAGAGAAAAATAATTTTTCAAGATGATAATTATTTTATCTAAACGCTTGCTAATAAAATATATTTATGATAAAACCTCTTATATCTAATTATCTAAATTCAAATTATTCAATGTTTTATATCTGATCAAGACCTAATTTTATTTATACTATTGGATTCATTTTCTTAATATTTAACTTAATTTCCTTGTTATCGATTGTTATGTCCTTACTACTATAATAAACTTGAATAAAAATCTTAATTCTTAAAAAATATTTGTATTTGACTAGTATTCGACACTTATATTATTTCAAATGAATTATAAAATTGGTTAACATCTTAAACTACTTTGCAGGGAATTTTGAAGCAGAGAACTGGCTTGGCACTGTCATCCACAAGAGATACCATTAAATCCAAGTTAATCTAAAAGAAAGCATAAATGATCAGGAACAATAATCAAAACGCAAGTAGAGAAATGTTAAATATGATAATTTTTTAAAGTCTGATAACTTGTATCATTTTTCAGTATTTTAAATGGACATATACTCACTGCTGGGTAGGATTGAAGTACTGGAACTTTTAGATTGTATGTGACTTTATCGTCTTTTTTCAAAGGGCATGATCCTTCCTTAAGAAATTGGCAAGCATCACTTAGCTCTGGGGCTAATGGGTAAGGAACGGTGACACCGGCAACTTTGGCTTTTACCTACGAAGAAATTATTGTATTAATTTATTTCTAAAATATAAGTATGTATTAATTTCCTTGTTCATAATCTGATTTAAACATGCTTCAAAATAACTG